CGTCGAACCTGGACGAGGGTGCACGGGATTCCTTGGAAAAGACCGTTTTGTCTCTGGCAGACAAATTTTGATGAGAAGAGAAGCAAAAGGATGACCATTCTCGAGATGATATTTCCAGAAACTTTAGCTTACCAGAAGAGGCAGACCACGCGTACGAATATTTACATTATGAAGATTAATACTTTGATGTACGAATTAAATGAGACCAGATACGACATCAAAGCAAAATTGCTTGTCGAAGGGATAAATTATGGAACGTTTTATTATTAGATCTAAACGAGATTGTTATTCGAGACTGTTGTGATAAAAGATCATTCGAAATTGAATATCGGTCGAAACGAAAGAAAACAAGACCGAAACGGATTAAGCGAAACCTTGTCAACGTCAAACCCGTTACACGGATCACGGACGAACGATTAACCGGAAAATCCTGGAAATCCGTTGCGGCGGAACATCCGTCACCGGGAAACCAATTACCGAGGAAAGTAATGGGTGGCTAGAGACGGACACACGTGGCGGCGTCCTTTTCAGCATATTTCCCATCGAGCGTTTTCAACGAAATAAACGTTTGGCAAGCCACGATACGTGACGCAGACGTCGTCTGGCGCAGCCTTTCCGACCCGCTGGGGATCCTTGTGTCAGGACGAATTCATAACAGAGTCATAATTGCGGGACGGGCCCCGCAGTATGCATAATCCCGCAGTTAGCAGTTCTGCTTAACGATCCGCGAGAAGCAATCCCGACGTACCTGCCACGCTGCAGGATGAAGGCGTCCCAGCCAACCTCTCTCTTATTGCCAGCCATCCCGTACAGTACGCCCCTTTTATTCCCCTCTCCTTCTGCTCCTTTCTTTTCGCCTCGCTATACAGGACCTTTCATAACGCGTGCACTCGCTTCACGGATAAAACCAAATCAAAATGTACTACCAATTCATGATGTACCACATCTGGATTAAATCTAAATTCTACAAATTTAGCTTCTAAATCTAAACGTTCACATACAGTCAAATTGAATTCCATCTTAATTTTCCCTGTTTCTGATTCTGCTCAATTTCATACTCAACAATGATCTCATCCCCAAGTTTCTACGAAGCCTTTCTTCCACGATTCTCTTCCTTCCGCACTTTACCCATTTTTCCTCCAGTTCTCGTATAACTCTCCGGCTCCCTGTTCTCGTCACAAGCAATACAGAGACTGAAATTACGCATCTGTGCGGTTCCTGCAGGCACGACAACCCGCGGCGTGCATCGATGCAGATGAGCACACGAGAATGTGTAAATAAACACATACCGAGACGACGTCGTATACACACGTGCACCTGTGCTCGCGGTAGCAAATACATGTGGCCACGTACACACGGTTAATCACCTGTGCGCACGATATTACAGAAACGTGTCGGGTGTAGAGCGAGTGCTCGCGAGGATTCGACATAATGATGGAAAGGATTTCGAGATAAATTTATGAACGACGCGATACACGAAAGTGCGCCGTATCTAAATATTTGATGGCTCGTGTCGCTGGACCGACTCGACGATATATTTTATCGTTCAAGGATTTATGTCGAATCGTTGGAAATGACGATTTTGCGCGGGTTCGACGATGTGGAAAAATCGCGAATATTAGTCTGGAGAAGCTTGAATTGGGTTGTTGAGTCGACTGATTTTAAATGCATGATGCTATTCATTTGTCGATATAATCTCGACTGTAATTTAGAAAGTGCAAATACATAATGTAGGTTTAAGGTCCATATGCGACATGGAAAAATAAATGAAGTTTCTGATAAGGTTATATTAATGATACAAAATCGCAAGTAAAATACAGCGAAAATTCAATTTACGCAGGCACACGGCAAAGAATAATTATCCCGTTATCGATCGAATAAAACAGGCTGATACACGGTTATATAGCTAGAGCTTCGCATTCATCCGCCTCTTGTACCCTGTTCGACTATCGAGCCATGGTATAAGCCGAAACAGGCTGCTCCCTTAATTCAGCCTCGTAATTAATTATGCATTGTTAGTTGCCGCGATAAGGGAGGCAGGGAACGCGTCGGGGAATTTGTCCCGTCTCCTCGCGGGATACGTCCACGATTGTTTCCCGTCCGTTTCAGCGACAGACGGCGAGGATAATCGCGTGACTAACGATTAACCGAATCGCGAAGAAAGGACGCGCGGCGTTGCGTGAAGCGTACGAAATGATCGAGCGTCGACGTATCATTTGCAGAGACGGAAACACAACCGTTTATTAATGGCCAACTCATCGTATTGATAATGCGTTACCTTAATTGCGGAAAGAGTGATAAATGTTGCGCTTGTTTCGAAGGTCTCGACTGTATATTTCATGGAGCTCTCATTTAGAAATTTTCTAATTTCTTGTTTTTTTGAGGGTAAAAATTTCTGTAGATACTATTTCTGATTTTGTGAATTTTCGAGTGCACAAATTTTCGATTTCTGAATGTTTGATTTTACAAACTTCCGAATGCCCGAATTTTTAAACTTCTAAATCTTGAAATTACCAAACTTTCAAATTCCTAAATTTCCAAATACTCAAACTTCCAAATTCCTAAATTTCCAGATACCTAAACTTGCAAATCCCTAAATTTCCAAATAGCTAAACTTGCAAATTCCTAAATTTCCAAATACCCAAACTTCCAAATTCCTAAATTTCCAAATACCTAAACTTCCAAATTCCTAAATTTCCAAATAGCTAAACTTGCAAATTTCTAAATTTCAAAATACCCAAACTTCCAAATTCCTAAATTTCCAAATACCTAAACTTCCAAATTCCTAAATTTCCAAATACCCAAACTTCCAAATACCCAAACTTCCAAATTCCTAAATTTCCAAACACCAACACTTCCAAATTCCTAAATTTCCAAATACCCAAACTTCCAAATACCTAAACTTCCAAATTCCTAAATTTCCAAATACCCAAACTCCCAAATTTCTAAACTTCCAAATACCTAAACTTCCAAATTCCTAAATTTCCAAATACCCAAACTTCCAACCCCCGAAAATGTCCAAATCCTAATTTCCCGAATTTCCAAACGCTCGAATGTCGATAATTGTGACTCACCCGTGTGCGTCCTCTGATGGGCCTTGAGATGCGAGCTCTTGGTGTAGACCTTCTTGCATCCCGGGAATTGGCATTTGTGTATCCTGCGTTTCGTATCAGGTGGACTGTGCTCGTGGCTCCTCGCGTGGTGCCTGTTGGCCACGGTGCTTGCAGCTGCAGTTGTGCCTGCATGTGCATGTTGCGTGCCCGAAACCGCTGGGTAACCATTCGCTGCGACGGAGATCAGTCTGTAAAAAGCATCGAATTCAATCACTTTTATGCTCCTCCCTTCGACTCGACAAGTTCTTTTAGCAGCTTACATGTGAAATCGCGTTCGTTGCAATTTTCTTTACCAAGTAATCTAATATGAAATAAATGAGTTTGTTAAATTTTGTTGGTCTACGTCGTGAATTTTAATTCGGACAAATTATCATTTGAAACGAAAGTGCGGAAAGAATACGAACGATGGAAGTTGAAAGAAGCGTGTTCGAGACGAAGAATAAATATAAAAACGTCGATATTGGTGTCCATTTATTTTCTGGCAAGTTTCGCGATGTCTGCGTTTAATGCAAAGACGGACGCATAAATTAAAAGGAGAAAAAAATAGGAAAAGTTTCTCGACTAGCGACGAAATTGAATCGTGCTCGTTAATCATTCGCCCAATCGTCTCCACCATCGATCTTTTACAAACTTTATTCGAAGTATTGCGCTCTTTCTTTCCTACCGCGGGAATCTAATTTGATTTATGGACTTCATTATTTACGATCACGATTTGGACAACATTTGCAAGTAATTAAATAACGGTTACGTTGAAATGCCTGCACGTGAACAGTTCCAAACGCCACAGAGAAATACTGACTTCTGTCACGCAACCGAGAAGGTACTTCGTTTATGAAAAATAAAAAACGAATCTGCGTGGTGAACTTTTACATTTTGCAACTGCGCGAAGACCAAAAATGGAAACACGACATGTCCTAATTACGCGAGTCAGCCTTATATTTCCCAGAAATGACTGAGTTTGGTATTCGAAAGAAAAGTAACTTACCTTGCGACACCCTGAGCGTTGCTGGTGGTAACCCTGACGATGGCGCTCCTGCCGCCCGTTCCATGAAGGTTGAGGTTCTGCACGTCGAGCATCGAACTCCCACTCGACGAGTGACTGGAGTTGGAATGACCTTGACCCGAGCCGGGGCTCGACGGTGGTGTCAGGATTTGACCTTCGCTTTCGCAGCCGCTGTCCTCCTCCTCCTCGATTTCCTGTTGCCGGTAACGTAATTCATTACGCAACGGGATTACGATAACGGGGCTCTGATTAAAGTACAAGCAACTGGTTAAAACGGTATCGAACATCGATACCACACGGTACCACGTGGTCCCCGCCCGAATCGATCAATGGCAAATAACCCCATAAACGGATTAACACACCGGCCTATCGGTGTTACGTCCGCGCGAATGCGTTCGTTTGATTACACGCGCCATCAATACGTAATTATCGAAAACCAAGAAAAATCGTTATTTGTGGACCCGCCGCTTCGTATTGAAATTTGACGCGTATTCTGCTCGCGATACATCGAAAACGAATGACTGTAATGACTATAGGACATGTGTAAATACAGGTTCTCGATGTAAAAACTGTTGAGAACGTTCGATGATGACTGGTCACTCGTTTTTTGTCAAGTCTACCTTGTTATTAATTCTAACGATAGGGAGGTGACTTCAAACATAGTTTCTTAAAAAGCAAGTCACTTAGCAATATTGTTGAACAGGACCCAAATAAATTTAGCAAATAGACAAACATATAGCATGAAGACAAAGAATGGATCGTTGAGTAAACAAAATTCTCGTGTCTCATGAAAAAATATTGACTCGAATAATATTTAAACAAGAACGATAATAAAAATTTTAATTATTAATATAGCTTGTTATCCGAAGGTTAATACGAATTAATCAAGTGAGCACATCTGATCCAGAGGGTAGATAAAAGTACAAGCGGAGAAGCTAGTAAGCATAAAAGGAATGAGCCGAAGCGGAAACTTGCAAAGCGTCCGACGTAAATCGGATTTGAACGCACCTCGTGTTCCTCATCCTCTTCGAGATCCTCGCTGGGCTCTTTCTTGAGAATGAACGCCCTGCACGAGACGGAGGGCGAGCTGTCCCAGGACAACGCCGAACACGCCGAACTCGACGACGACATCGAGAGGGAATCAAGGTGTCGGTCCAGGAGATCCCTATCACGGCCGTTGTGGTTGTGATCGCCGGGACTGAATTTTATGTCGTCCAAACAGAGCGTTTCCCTGTCTTCCGACGACGTCGTCACCTGAGTTGCACGAAGCAACGAAGAAAAAATAAAAAAACCTTTGACACGGGTTGCTCGAGAGTAGCGGAACCCGTGAAATCTCTTCGTGGGAACATCCAGGGGATTCGATAATGATCGTGCCGGGGATCGTTGGTGACTACTCACCTCCATTTTGATTGGTGATTCGAATTGTGCGTTGGTGGTGCCGGTGGAAGCCGTCCACGAGATTGGAGGCGCCCTGAAGAGGTTCCAGGGAGCTGTGTCCAACTCTGTGGGCAACTTTTTGTACGACTGTAGCTTCGGCTCGTCCTTCAGGTACCTCTCCATCTCGTAGCATGTCTGGAACGATAAAGGAGACAGGTTAATTTAATAGTCGAACGACGTTGTGGTACTGCTAATTAGAAACCCTTCACTCTCATAACTATTTTGACTGTGTAATCGGCGTGAAACTAATCCACTATTGTTTTGACCCTTTAATTGTTTAATCGCGGATCGAATTTCGAGACACGGAAATTTGGGAATGCGGAGATTGGACAGTTTGGAAATTTGAGCATTAATACTAAAATGATCAAAAGCATTAATGCTTCCCTCAATCGACGAATATCTGTCGATGATTTCGCGCGACATCGAAACGCGAAATCAATCGACGAGCCGGCTTTGCTAATTGTTACATCCCAGTGTTTGTAATTCATCGATTCCGCGTGTCGAATTTTACAATGCCGCCCCTCATTATATTTACAGCGAATGCGCATGGCGTAGCTGCGAGCAATTTATAGCGTAGGATAGATATGCAGATTCGTCCAACGATTGTTACCGTTTGCCATCAAAATGCAACGACGATGTTGCCGCTGTTGCGTGCCATCTCTCCGGTTTAATTAGTGTTACAATGATCAGGAAATCCCTAGTATCATAGTCATCGTTGGTGTCGCCTGGATAATTACAACGCCACGACCTTCTCTGCATGTATATTTCATCGTGACCGCAATTTCTGCCTTTTCTCCGCGTTTCGACGAAGACGAAACATGGTTGAACGTGACTGGATGATCAATTAAGTCTTCTGATTGAAACCAGAGAAACTGGTATTTCAAGTAGGTAGAACCCGGTCTACTAGGAAAAACCTTATGCAAACGTCGGATCGATTTGTGGCTACATTATGTGGGTTGCGAGCTTACTCGTTAAATCGCGTAGCTGGGTTTTCATTTTTCCGCACATTTTCAAACATCGAATTGCATAGGTGGGTTTAAATTGTCCGTGGCTAATGCGTTAAAATGATAGCGTTTCTTCGAGGTTCGCAGAAACGCAAAGTCCATCGTGAATAATTCGTGGCTTTGAGAATAACGTCGGTGACGGTAGCGTAATGAGCGGTTGTCCCGAGATCAAGGAACTTTTATTAAAGCCACCGCGTTTTAATATACAGAGCACATTTATCTTGAACCACAGTAGACCCCAACGTTCTTCTACTCCGGATCGCTTAGATCCCAAACGTATATTCCAGGCTCTCGGCGATACTGTTTCTATTTAAATTTCTCGTCGCATGAATCATCCATTGCGACTTTGCAGGAAATATTAAAACGAGGTCGAAAGTGTCCGCCAAAGCGGCCACGAATATTCGTCGTGGCTCAACGGCGAGCAAAGACGATGCTCCAAAGGGGCAAACGACTCGTCGAGCCAGCAACGACGTAATCTGATTGCGGGCCATGGTTTTAGCACAATTCCTCGCCCGGTAGCTAGCCTAACTTTGCACTTCGTCTCTGAGGAACTGCGGCAAACTGGCACGGCCTACGGGACCGAGCTGCAAGTTCCGCAACTCGCGAGTAGCTGTGTCGACTACTGTGTCGATGTGTTTTCTCCTATAAGACTGTTGCAGATAATTTCGCTGCTGTTTCCAGAAGTTTGCATGCGTGTCTGAACGATGGAGAGGATTTCCGAAATAGTTATCCATGATTTTTTATTAATACAGTGGTCGTTGTAAGATACTGCTGCTTCGTAGTCGAATGTTTATAGATTCTTAAATTTTGTGATCCAAGAAATTGTAAACTTGAAATAAGACGTTTGATTAATAGCAGTATTTACATCCACGTAAATGTATGAGTTCAGTAAGTTTAATCCTTCCGAAGTTAGTCAGCGAGGGACGTTCGGTTGTTTTAAGGGAGAATTAAACCGAACGGAAGTTTGTCTTGCTGACGTGGCAGGGATCTTTCGAAAAGCGCGAAAAATGGCATCTGGAGGAAGTTACGGTGCTCCGTGCAATATCGTCGGTCCCCTCGCTCAGAAAAATAATCACCCTTAGACTTCTTCATTATTCACGATTAAAGTTCGTCCAGGAAGCTCGTGGAAGCGAGTAACGGCGTTAATATAACTTGGAAAGGAATTTTATCGGCTATCCCAGGAACCGTCGCTTCTACCTTTATTCGATTTTTACTAATCGTTATCGAACCTCTATGATTTCTTATGACATCTAACGGGTGGCTAAGAAACGCTCTGCCAAAAGCTTTCTTTCCAGCGTACCATTTTTGTCCATATTCTGCAACCGTGTTCGTCTCGCAATGAAATCGGAATCGCTTACGAAAAACTTGCTTCGTGTCCGTAATGGAGGCAACGTTCACACGTGCAGCTGAGGTTTGCAGCCTCGAACAATTGCGACAATCCATCGTACGTGACTATGAAACACGAGAAAGGCACGTGGACGATGAGAATATACAACAGCCTATTTCGTAAGCATTGTAAGAATGGAAAATTTTCTAACCCCTCGTCGTTTCGAACACGGTTTTTCCGTAATTATCCTACACGCGAAAAAAGACCATTTCCTGGCGGATAACAGGACCGCGAAATCGGAGCTCATTCGCGAAAGAATTCGCATTCCCTGGTAATTCGCTCGCGGATCTGCTCATAGAATTATTCCGCGAACAGGAATTGTTTCGCGGAAGACATCGCGACTTTCTTTGTTTGTTGATTATAGTTTGTGAGCAAACAGCCAATTTTTTACCTAATTATATGCGTAGTTAGTTAGTAATAGTCCATGTGATAAGTTTTAATAATGTGGTCCATGTTTAGTAAGTAAATAAGGAGACTATCAAAAATTAGCAGAGACAATGTGTAATAATTGTGTAGCGCCATTTGCGATTAAAGTTTCGAATTGAACGTGATTGATCGCGTCAGAGAGGCAAAGCGACGGAAAAGGTAGAGACGAAGAAAGATCCTTGTGCCTGGTCGTTGGCGCGCAACCCTGAAGGGGTGTGTAAACAAGTGGCTGCACGGGACGCAATTCTCCACGAGACCGGGTTGTCGGCGGAACGAAGAACACAAAGACAACACTGTTCATTCATAACGAGAGGAAAACTTGGCCGCGCGTATAGGTATAAGCTTGGAATCCGCTCCGTACGACGACGGTTTCATCGAGCCGATGCTTTGCAGTGCCATCTTCCCTCGGAGCTCGTTTCCCGGTTATTCCGCCAACATGCTCCCGGCTGTGCAGATTCGAGCAGCTCCCTCTCTCTCATCCTTCGCTATTCTGTTCCCCTCTTATTCAGCCGGCACTTCCTCCAGAGTTCTTTGAGCGGTAATACCCTTCCAGCGTGAAAGATAAGACACATTAATACTCGTTACCGCACAGCCAGCGCTCGCCCGTCTGCGTTTAGGGTGAGATACAGATTCGAAGGCGATTTGACAAACGACTCTGTAGAAATAATGTAGGAAAATGGAGGTTGGTAGTAATGGAGATCGAATACAGGTGTACGCTGCTATCTCGCGCAATCAGTAATCCTTTGTATTTAGCGCGATTTCTGTTATTCGATAACTTGATTCGATAAGAAAGGTTCGAAGGCAATTCGGAAAACGGCTATCGCGATACTTTGCATGCGTGCATGGCTATCGTTACGAGGGGTCATCGTTCCTAGTTTTATGATCTGTTTTATCGGCGGATTTCCTCCGCACGCGTGCAATCGTTCAAGCACGACGCAGCCACTCGATCTTTGAAATAGCCTCGAAGAAAGAGGAGGAGGAAAGAGCCATCAATGATCCGAAACGACGTTCAATTTGCGAGAGATAATGGCCGTCCGATAGGATCGAGCCGATATCACGGTATCAACCGTGAGAATCCACGTAACAAAGCGTCCAATTCGAGCCGGGACACACGCGGTCCGGAACAAGCAAGGAAAAGATAAAGGGGACGTAGTTAGATTAGAGTGGGTTGGGTTTGTAACGAGGATCGGGACGACGAGGACATCGAAAACGATTCGCGTTCCCTGAACTCCCTTATCGAGGCCCTCGTACATCCAGCCGGACTTTTCTTTCTACCACGATTCCGCCTCTTTCGACTCGTTTTCTTCTCCGCTTCGCTCCCAAGAAACCAGAATTTCGCGTTACTCAGCCGGTCGAGACACTTGGACGATAATGACCGCGGAACCTGGGGGACTCGGCACTAACAGTAAGATAAACCATTCTACGAGATGAGTCTCAGACCCGGACTCGGACGGGAAGCAACGCTGGGAATCGGTTCAAAGACCGGACGAGGAAAACGAGAAAATCGAGGCAAAAGCGGGCTTTAATGTTTAGAGCAGCGAAACATTTAGTCGCGGGCATGAAAGAGGATCGATTTTAACAGGATAGATTACGGGAGGTACTCGTGGGACCTGGCGACGACAACCTCGGTTTCGTTGGATCTCGATAGCGGCGATCCCGGTCTCATCAAGCTCAATAGGACCTCGAACTCTAGGGACTGGATACACAGGACTTTGGACTCGTTGCATCGGGATACACGTGTTCTTTGTTGGAGATGCTTCTAAACTCTGGGGACCTTGCACAGAGGAACCTCTATTCCTGGATCCTAATATCAACAGAACTGAATTTAACCAACGGATAGGTGTGGTATCCATTAAATTAACACGAATCGGGTCATCTCGACAACTTTACCGATATCCTATTAGGTTATCTCGTAAAATCGGGTAGTCCAAAAAGACTCTACTTTGCTATCGTTTTGTCATCGTCAAACTAACAGGAACATTGTCACTCATGAAACTAACAGAAACATTATAGCTCATGGAACTAACAGGAACATTGTCGCTCATGAAACTAACAGGAACATTGTCGCTCATGGAACTAACAGGAACATTATCGCTCATGGAACTAACAGGAACATTGTCACTCATGAAACTAACAGGAACATTGTCGCTCATGTTCAGTAACAATAGATATCCATACTGCACAGAATGTATCAACATCCAAAATGCACTTGGAGAGAATAATCTAGCGCAAAGGATTAATAAAGTGGAATCAGGAAGCTAACTTAAATTTGTGAATAACTTTCCAGATACCGATGAACGCACAGAGATTAAGCTCGA